ACACAAACTTCTGCTTCCCAGCTGCAACATCGTTTGCTGCAAAGAAGTTACGAACTCGCTTCGCGTAGCGAGAGAAAGTCTCTTGACAGGGATCGAAGGACTCAATCTTACCAACAGCAGCCATCGTAGGATCGTTTCTCTACCTCATCGCCAATGTAATATCTCTTTAAGAACCGAAAGAAATTAAAGAATATGAAAGAACGAACAGAACAGAATACAACAGAAAAGAACCAACGTGTGTGCGTTACAAAAAAACCATAGATATTAATAACCATAATAATCATGAATAATAATGAGTAGGCATGTAACTAAACAATAATGTAATAATACATAGATAATAGGTAGTGTATGCATGTACATGTATATGGATACCAAAGTTTGTCCATATGAAGATACCACACATGGACTGTGTTTGTCCATTGGAGTATGTATGGTTGGAGGTTAATTTGTACACATGTAGATGTGTGGGGACTGTAAATGTCGTCCGTTATACAGAATAGAGAGGTTCCACTATACAAAGGTTCTTTTATACACTACCCAATGGCCTTATGGCTAGGACAAGAGCAACTGTATGTTATAGAGAGGTGTCTGCTAATTGGGGGTTCATTTTAGAGAGGTTTGACTGTACATGTACTGTATAGTGGATAATTTTGGAGGGGATTAAATTTGGCAAATTTGGCATTTTGATAGCCATTCGCCAAAATAAAAATCTGCAATTTTGAGCCATTATATGCATGCTCAATGGCATGTGGCCACAAATTTGCCAAATTAAAAATCCACCAATCACCAAAATTTAGCAATTTGCCAAATTTTAGCCCCTCCAAAATTACCCACTATACAGTATTCTACAGTTGTGTTTGCCAAATTTTATCAAAAATAAAAAGGAGAAATTTTTGATTTTTATAATTCTTTCTTGTACAATGCACATATACTTACATTATGTAGAAAATTTGAACTAATTCCAATCCAGTTTGGATTTCTATGAATTTTTGAAGTTATATACTCAAAGATCGGGCCAAAGTACAGTTACTACAGTACCCAAATTTTGTCAAAATGAAAAGGAGAGGATTCTCTATTTTGATGATTTTTCTGATACGTACATGACATGCATATTTAGTTACTCTGCCTATATTGTGTAGTAAGTTTTAACTGATTCTGATCAAGTTTGGATTTTTAATGATTTTTTAAAGTTGCTCAAAAATCTGGCCGAATTCCCTGTACAGAGATTTTGGCCAAATTTTATCTAAAATGAAAAGGAGAAAATTCTCAATTTAAGTCATTTTGTCTGATACATATACATGCACTTACAATGTACATTGTTTTGGAAGTTTGAACTGACTCAATTTTTTTAATTGCTCTAAATGCCATGTACTGTATTATAGGGCTTGTCAGCTCATGATGCTCATGCTGTTTGTTGTAGCTCACTCAGCATGCTTTGTGGGAAACCCTCAAATACATGTATTGTATAGTGGATAATTTTGGAGGGGATTAAATTTGGCATTTTGGTAGCCATTTGCCAAAATAAAAATCTGCAATTTTGAGCCATTATACACATGCTCAATGGTACGTGGTTACAAATTTGCCAAATTAAAAATCTGCCAATCACCAAAATTTAGCAATTCGCCAAAATTACCCGCTATACAGTATGTATCAAAAATATAATAAAAATGGGAGGTGATTTTTGGGAGTCAATTTAAAAACCACATACCATAATAGCCTTTGATAATTAAAGTTGCCTGTTTTTAATATTCATAACTAAAAAATTATTTCTCGTAATCAGCTAATTAGCATAAGGACATTGATATATATCATAAAATGTAATAAAATAATATTAAGGTTGATTTTGGAACCTTGCTTTTTTTTCAAAAATTGACTTGCTCTTAAAAATTTGATAGTGCTTACCTTGGACAAAATATTTTTTGATGATAAGAGAGAGAGAGGAAGT